AACATGTCGTGCATTTTGTAGAGCAGTGTTGGGTGCGTTTTCCCTTTTTAAAAAAATGTCGAAATGCTATGTATGGGGGTCTGCGGCATAAAAACTAAAAGTGAGACAGGGCAATAAAAATTAAAGAGGACTTTTGGAAAAGAGGAAATCTTTAAAGAACTCCTTTGACTTGAGAACAAAACTCGCTAGATTTTGAGGACATCTCATCAAAATATGAGAATTTCTACTTTTCCTCCAACTAATAATAATGATTTTATAAAAATTAACAGAAAAGAAACAATACGATGACGTTAATTTTCTCGCAAAAATGGCATGCCAGTTATTTTAGGGTGAAGTCAATTGACTGCCGCCGTTGCTGCTCGAGAGGCTCTCTTCTTGAAGCAAACGCCGACCATACTGCTGCTGAGGCCGCTCCATCCCGGTGCCGTCGTCAACACCCCCGTTATCCTCTGGCGTGCATGCATAGTGATCGCCACGAGAGAGAGAGAGGACGAGGGATAGACACGGAGGAGAAGGAGGGGCAGAGGCGCTTTACGGCACAACATGCATAAAGCCGCGCGCGCCGCAAGGCTGCTGTGTTCTTATCTGCTGCACGTTATGGTTGTTATCACACAACGGGCTATTTGAACAACTTTAGCGCGATGATAGCAGCGAGCGCGCGGCGGGGGCGGTGCGGGCCGCAGGGGCGTATGATCGGGCCGACATGTATTCGTGGGGACGTTAATTTGACTGAGGGTGGCTCGTGCTGCTGGTGCACCAGCGGCGGTGGGGTGTAAAGCGTTGATCGCGACCGTAAAGCCACGCTGAACGAAGCCGCGACGTGGAACGGCAGCCAGCGGGATGGCATTGGCGGCTGCTGCAACAACACAGCCGCACAGAGTCCAGCCGACCCCGGACCTGCTGCAAATGCTGCACCCGGGGGGTCGCATGCCGCAGCTGCATTGCCGCGACAGACACTCACATTTCATCCCAACCCCGCGACCCCCTTCCCCTGCTCTCTCTCAATAACACAGCAAGATGTTCCGTTATAAACTTAGTACTTTCGAATTTTTTACAATGATCGCTGTAGGTCTTTTCTTCCCTTCCGGTAAACTATTTTCCACAAACCTCTGGTCGTGCGGGATGCTGAGCTAGGGCCTCCAAACCCATTGTTTTCGTTGACGGCTCTGGGGCGTTCGACCGAGGCACTTATGTGAGAGGAAGGACAGGCGGCCGCCAAGGGCAGACGGACAGAAAAAAGAGGGGGGTGGGGGAGGGTACGGTTTGGGGGTGGAGGGACGGGAGTGAAAAGAAGGGCCAGTCCCAGCGAGCCGGCTGTGCCGTACCGCAGCCGCAGCCGCGTCCACATTGTTTCGCAAATAAGGTAATTTCAGTCAGAGGGCCTCCCTGTGCTTTTGCGGGCTGGTGGGGGGGGGGGGCGCCTTCGAAGGGAAGCGGCGCTGGGGGAAAGAGTGAAGGAAAGTAGAAGAGAGGAGGAGAGGAGGACGCCTTCTGGACGCTGCCGCTTCCACTGGCGAACGCCACCCCTCGTGAGCCGGAGCTCTGCGAACAACACCCTGCGAGAGGCAGCAACAGCAAGGACAGCCGGACGGAATGCAAATCGACTAAAATAGAATTCCGGCATTTTACTAAAAGGCGCGTTGTCGCCGTCGTCAGCTTCTCACTGCAAGGCAGGACGCGAGAAAGAGAGAATAACAGCGGGAAAAGGGGGAGAGGGGGAGAGGGGGAGAACAGAAGCAGGGACGGGGCTATTTCCTGCCGGAATCGCACGCGGGACTCTTATACATATATGTAGCTCGCCGCGCGCCTCGCGTCCGCCCAGCAAAGCGTGCGCGTGGGAGCTGGGCAGAGCAGACTTATGTCGCCAACGTCATACGCAACACTGAGCGACAGCAACGAGACACTCAACGTAAATTTGACAACTATACCATATAGTTATACTTCTTAGCGTAATGTTTTCCGAACTTGAGTACCGTACAAATTAATAAATATCACGCATTGAGTTTCTACGGTAATCGCCTTTCTCATCGGTTATTACTCCTACAGAGCAGTGCTGCTGCTCTGGAAACCCAAGCTTAAGAGTGCCAAAAAAGGACAAAATTTAGCGGTCATGAATAAACGCCGAAATTTTGGCAAGCAAAGTGCGCCACGACGCTTAGAGTGTTGGAATATCAGGGAAGGCAGTTCTCCTCTTTCACTCCCAACTCGAACGCCTTTCTGTACCCCCTGTACCAGCTGGCGCCCGCGACGATAATTGTCGCTAAAGCGTAACACGTGTCCAGGTGCCCAGCCCAGCACGTGTCAGGGCCGAGCGGTGCACGCCGCGGTGGCGGGGGTCGGGTCACATGACAAACGGTTCTGAGCCGGACCTCGACCGGGTCTCGCTTTAGGCAAGTACTGTCGACTGGGCACTGATAAATTACCTACTTTCACCGCCTGCCAACGGAACGAACCTCACATGCGAACGTGCTCGGTGGGAACGAACA